CAAGTTTGTTTCTCCCTCTTTGCACTTTGCATTTGCACTTGCTGTCTCCTCTGTTGAGGGCCCCTCTCTCTCCACGCCTCCCTTAGTTCAGGCCTCTCCTCAGAGTCACCTTCTGAGAAAAGACCTCCCCTGAACACCCTCATCATTGTCCACCTCCTTTCTTTGCTTTGTTTTTCTTCTTTGCATTTAGAGCCACCTGACATGGTGTGTGACTCCCTCATTTTTACTTTATTATCCATATTCCCCATCTCCCCACCGCCCCCCCCAGTGCATGAGTTTCCTAACTTGGGCTGTGGAGGGGGGACCCTGCATGCCTTGTTCATGCTGGTCCCAGTGCCGAGACAGCACACAGAAGGGACTCTGTAAATACTCAGTGAATGAACGGGCCAGGCTCAGGTATTAGATCTCCCGGGGCCTGGTGTTGAACCTCTGGGTGCAGAGAAGGTATTCGTGTGTTTATTGGAGGGACGCCTCAAACCATAGAGAGTCTGCACGAGCCTAGCACAGTGCCTTGCACGTAAGTGATGATGGCGGTCTCGTCCCTTGGAGGCACCACCCGCAGCTATCTTACTAGTTTCTAGGATAGCTTCACATGGAATGAGTAGTGTCGCTCGGACCGCGGGCCACCGGAGACGAGCTGAGAGCCCTGTCCTTCGTGAAGTGACACATCCCCACTTTTCATTCCCTCGTTGGAAGAGCAGAGCATTAGGAAGAGCTGTGAGAGGTGACCATAATAATGACTCAGCGAGCCGAGATGATTTGAGTCCCAGGCAAAGCAGAGTTGGTGTTAGTCCCTGGCAAGTGCCTCTTGTTGAAATGGGCTGTTTTGAGGGTTGCGGTCAGGTGATTATCACACTGAGTAAAGGAAGTCGGATATACCAAGTAGATTGTCTTTTACCTCGTTTGTGTTCCTGTACAGTTCAAGTTCTGAGATGAACACCCTGGTATCATTTGGGATGCACTGTGAGCGGGGTCACCGTTTACAGACCTGAACCAGGAGGGTAACAGCCTGTCACCAAAGAGACTTTGTTTAGTGATCAAAAATGAGGGGTGTTAAATACAAAGAAACCGTATTAAACATGTGTGATGATGCGTCTTTTCAGGCCAGATCTCCTCTGGCTTCAGCTCCCGGGGAATGTCTTTAGGACACTGGTGGCACTTCCAGATGCCTCCCTACACTCGCACCCTCAGGCACTGGGCACCGCTTACTCTCAGTCAGTCAGAACTGGAGGCTCACCCTCTTCTTCCTTAGACCTTTGATCTCAAGTGTTTGGCCTCCCCTCCCCCTCTGCCTGCTCTCTGCTGGTAGAGCTTTGATTCTGGCCAGAGGCAGCCCCAGCCTGGGGCGGGGAGTGTAGTCTGGCTGGTCCCAGCACCGGTGGAGCCCCCGCTCTCCCAGGCCACTGGGTTGGCTGGTCAGTTTGGAGGGGGGTGTGGCATGGCCCCTTCCGCTTCTTTCTTGAGCACTGAGCCTCATGGAGTTAGGTCACTTTCCAGAGTCTCACAACTTTGTTGGTATTGAAACGTCCACTTGAATCCGGTTCTGTAAACCTCGAATTCCATTTTCTTGCCTGCTGAGTCTCCTTGATTGAGTGACGTGAGGGATTCATCTGGCCGTTTCTGGTGCTGCCTGTCTGTCCACTGGGTCAGTGTTTTTGTTTCTCCTGAAGCTCTGTTTCTTCCCATCCTTCAATCACTGTATCCAGTTTGCCTCCTCGTGTGGGTCTCTGTGCTTCTTTCCTTCTCGTCGTTTCCGAGTTCCTGCGTTTGTTCTGCCAGCTCAGACTGCCTTTGGCAAAGTCCACAGTGGATCGGCATCCTTAAAAAGAGGAATGTGGTCATAGGGCAGATGGCAAAAGGGGACATGTGAGGCTGGCCCACCCACATTAACCCACAAGCCAGAGGAGTGGGGCTTGGGGCTAAGATGTTGGCCAGAGCTCTCTCTGCATCCTCTGGCCCCTCCTGGGGAGTTCTGTAGGTGCCCCCGCTCCTGGGAGGGATGCCCAGAAATCAGAGCCCCCTGAGCACTGTGGCTCCACGGTGTGGGTGTACCCAAAAGGAGGTTTGGTTTGTTTTAGCAGTGCCCAGCTCTGAGCGGATGAAAGGGTATTTGATGTTCTTCATTGAGTGGACTTTTCTGTTTAGTCTGTAAATACCATCTCAGAATTACTTCTCCATTAGTAAGAACCATGGTTACATCTCATCCCTTCCAGAAATTGGAGCTTATAAGTCATTTTAAGGTTTGAGGAAGATGCTCAGTCACTTCAGGATTTCCTGTCTGGGCCTCTCCAAGTTAGTTTTCTTTGTCACTTGCCCCCTGGTTAACCCTGCCCAATATGGGCATGATGTAGGCTTGTCCATAAAGCTCTTCTGGCCCCAGGAACCCTGAGAAGTCTAGCCCTGTGTCCACTGTTGAGATTCTTTCGGGGTCACTGGGCTTAAGAGTGGCCTGAGTATTTGGTAAGTTTGGGAGGGACCTCAGCAGTTTGCCCTGTGGCCCAGGTGGCCTCAGGAGACCTTTGTTGTGGAGCGTTACTTGTCCAAAGCTAAACCCAAACTGATTAGTCCTGGCCTGTAATCTGTATTTGTTAACCAGCCATCATCTAACCTTTGAGGTCTCTGTGCTCAGCCCAAGCAGGAGAGGTAGGAGATGTGGCTACCAGGTGAAGTGTGTGTCACCTAGAAAGGGATTGGCCATCTGGGAACATGTTGTCTCTACTTTAGTGTTTCATGTAGTAACGCACCAAGATAGATGTGGTTCTCTATGGGCTCTGATGCAATGAGGAGCAGCTGGAAAGATGCAGAAGGGAGCAGAGTAGGGTCATCCTAGAGGTGGCGGAATCAGCAATATAAGGAGAAAGGGCAAGGCGGAGCCGGTGAGGTCTCTGGGCAGCCCAGTGTGCTCTCTCTTGTGAAATATCTTCCGGGGATGGAGACCAAGAATTTCAAATTCTGTTGAGTTCAACTTGCAGGGCTCCAGGCCTAAATGATCCTCCCATCACTTCCCTAGAAAAGGAGACTGTGCCCGGCAGACACTGTGTGCACAGACGCAAGCCACCCCTCCCAAGTACTAACTGTCTCGCTCTTTGCTCATGCCAGCAAAAACCCGGGCGGCCGACTTGTTGGTGAACCCCCTGGATCCACGGAACGCAGATAAAATTAGAGTTAAAATTGCCGACCTGGGAAATGCTTGTTGGGTGGTAAGTAAAGTTTTCTTTCTAGAGCGTTTTGGTCATGATCATGGATTAGAAGACGCTTTTTTTTTTTTCTTTTTGCATGTCTGTTTTCCTCTGTACTAATACAGTGTGTTCCCTTCCAGCATAAACACTTCACAGAAGACATCCAGACGCGTCAGTATAGATCCATAGAGGTTTTAATAGGGGCAGGTTACAGCACACCTGCTGACATTTGGAGCACAGCATGCATGGTAAGAACGGCCTTGGCCATTTCCTTCAATGTAAAGGCCCATCCCGCAGCGCTTATCATGGGACAGTCTCACCAGTACATGTGGTCTGAGTTTTCCCGACTGCGGAGTACGTCTGCTGTGGGATGAGTGAGGGCAAGGTTGCTGTCTTGAGCGCCTTGAGAGTTGGAAGAATTCTTCTCAGACGTGTTCTAGGGTTTAGCCTGCTTTGGTCTTGTGACAGACGACCTCTACTCAAGGCCCTCTTCAGCCCACCACCCCCAGGAATCACAGCCTCCTCTGTGGTGGCAAAATGGCTTCAAGTAATTCTGTCTGGTTTCTGAAAGATTGCGGGCTGTACCCTTCCCTCGTGCCGTGGAGGAGGATGAGACAGCAGTGTCTTCAGGAAAGATTGTCTGAGGTCGAAAGGCGGGAGCCCTTCTCAGTGACCTCTGACAGACCTTCTATCCTTACTGACAAGGAAAAGGATTTCCCCACACACCAGTGTTTAATCTCTCCTCCTTTATATATAAGGCCAAATCTAGAGAATATTCTGGCTTGTTGCTGTGGGCTGTCCACTGATTTCTGAGACACCAGTAGCCGCCCATCGTCCCTTTGATGGAGTCTGTTCCCATAGAGAAGACGGAGATGTTTTCTCTCGGGGTCTCAGGACGCCTCTCCCCGCTGTGTATCATACTGGTTTGGGCTGCATCGCGGGTTTACTTGTGTCTAGACCCTCCCCCGGCCCTCACCAGCGCATCATTTTCTCACTTGCTGCCGACCTGTGAATTGATGAGCACCGGTGGGCCCTCTTCCATAAGCCGATTTCAGTTTCTCTTTCTTGGCCCTATTTCCTAGCCAGTTCAGCACCTTCCTCTAAGTGGGTTGTGCTTTGTGGTCCCGTGCTGGAAGGGTGTGTGTGTGTGTGTGTGTGTGTATATGGAAAAGGGGGTGCTATTTCATGTTTTTCTTATTCCATCCCCCCCCCCCAAATTCTCTGATATATTTAAAATGAAAGACTGTATGTGTAAAGCTTGGCACTTTTCTTCTCACTAAAAAGAGCAACAGGCAATATATGTAATTGTCTGTTATTCAAAGATTAACAATTCTTCTGAGTTTGCTGTATCATATGCCCCCTGGTGCTACAGCAAGAAGCATGGTGCTGGACAATATGGAAAAATAGTAGTTGTTTGTGTAAAATTATCAAGATCTGAGGCAACAGATGTGGCCAAACAGATTGGAAACATCGTGCCTTTCTGGTCCCACGTTGCTCTGACAAATAATACCAGATAATTTTTAAAATTAAGTTTTTCAGTGAGTATCAAAAACTTCAGTCTTTGCTGTGTGAGACATGGAAAAGAACAGTTAAAAAGATTGGTGGGCATGTGATGGTTGCTTTGAATTTGGAGGCTGCTGTGCAGAGAGGAGTGAGGTCCAGAGGGCAGGAGGGGGCGGAGGGCCCGGACGCGGTGGGAAGCAGAGGTTAGGTCAGTAGGAAGGGAGCACTTTCAAAAATTGGAGCTTCGGGGGAGAAATGTTCCATTCCAGGATGTGGTGAGGTCAGGCCTTACTTGTCCCCAGCAACACAGGAGGGGCCCTGAATTAGACTCCAAGAGCTCTTTCAACTCTGAAATCCTGTGCTTCTAATTTGGGGTGTTAAATTTTGGTGATATAACCGGAAAAATAGGACAAGATCACAGAGGCAGGAGAATAATGGTGGAGCTCAGTGCGATTTTATACCAGGTTGTCTGTCTTGCCTTCCATTAGATTAGGACTCGCCCCTCCACACAGTCTTCACACCCTGGCCACTCCTGCTGCTGTGAACAGTGCTAGAGTCCATCTCCTTTCTCCTGCCTCCTGCTCCCCTCAGACGAAGCATAAGCTCCCTCGGTGCCTCAAAGGCCGCTTACGGGTTGTTGTTGTTTTAATGAGGCAGATGTTGGAAGCGTGATTGTTCTGGATGGGGGGCAAGCCATCATTCCCCACCCCCACCTCCCATCCCTGAAGGCCAAGGCTGAGAGGTCCCCTTCTGTTCTTCTCAGACAACCTGGTAAACATGAGGCGGTGTTTCTCCACTCCTGTCCTTTTGTCGAAGTTTAGAAACATAATATTATATTAAATTCATAATTCCAGTGTATACTAAAGCTCTAGTTGTTCTTGGTGGTGAGGCCTGGAGTCCTTTGATGGCATAAATGGCATGAAGACTTGCAGAGGCCCTACTGGGGTCGCGAGCTCCTGCGTGTCAGCTGGTGTCTTTGCTCTCATCATGGAGGAGGGCTCTTAGAGCCGGAGGAGAGCACCAGAATGAGGCAGAGAAACTGAGATATGTGTCCCGTTGAACCTCTTTTCCTTTTCTTGAGTCTTGGGGCCCCTCCCAACATAAGTGTATGTGATCTAAAAATTCTGCGTGGGCCGAGGCATCGATTGCTATGCACTTGTGTGTCACAGGCCCAGAGCAGGTAACGTCTACAGGCTCCGCGGTGAGCCATAGTCAGTGCCCTAGAAATAAGAAAAGGCAGACTGGCAAAGTTCACTTGTTCAGCACTGGTCCCATCACAGAAAGAATAGGTGACCTTATTTATTCAGAATCGGGTACTTGGTGTGGGGGGGAGGGCATTTCAAGAAAGAGGTGTCTGGTCTCCCCAGGACCTGAGAACAGAGTTTGCTCCAGGGGAACGTCTCCCAAGGGGGTCTGGTCAAGTACAGACGAAGGAATCCAAGATTCCCAAGCATGAAAACAGTAACAATAGAGATTATATCAGGAGTAACCTACGGAGTTGAAGGCGGTAATCTTTAACCGGCGTGAAGGCAGGTCGTGAAGCATGAGGGCCCACATTTCCATCGGAATTTCTGCATCAGCTCTGTCACATGTGGCCTTCCTGTTAAGGAAGTCTTGTCACTCCCCAGAGAACTGGGACCAGATGACACACACGTGAGCCCCCATCTTCCCTCACATCTTCCTTTTCTCTTTTAAACCATTTCTTTGTAGGCTTCTTTGACTTGAGTGTTTCATTGGAAACACGTGGGTGCTAATCGAAACAGTCGTCTTTCAAAGAACACTCAGTTGACCTACCTTAGTGTTAGGCTGTAAGAAATAAATTCAACCTGATTGAAATGTGTTTGAAAATGTGTGAGGAGAGAGAGTTCTCAGGGGAGGGTTAAGGAGCAGCCGTGGCCCTCTCCACGGAGCATTCGCAGTGGCTTCTTCTCCATTAGGGTTTCACCCTTTCCTCATGGCTTGTAGGCTGCTTAGTTGTGTCCTGGGCGGGGAAGACCCTTCTGGCTGTTCAATTTTCCCCTTGGATTTGTGGCCAGATGTGGGGTTGTGTGGAGAGGAGAGGCCCCCGGTAAGGACTTTCCCTGGCCCTGCAGCGCCTGCGTGACCAGCTTACTCGGTGCTGGGACGGGCTGGGATGGGCATGTCCGTGTCCTGCGGGATCCTGAGTTCATGCACCGATGCTGTCATGGGGCTGCTGACAACCATCTTGTCACCCCACTGCCCTCCTTTCTTTAAATAAACAAACAAACAAACCAAAAAAATGGTGAAGAGATGTGGTCCTGGCCTGAGTGCGTCCACCTTCGGTTTGTTAAAGACAGTGCTAGGAGACCCCCTCCTGACCCACTCTGGTCATGAACAGAAAGAGGAAATGGGTGGATGCGGTGATGGTTCATCAGGGGTGGGAGTGAGGAGGGCCCTGATCCGCAGGCATCTGTGACAGAGGTCTAGGCCCCTGAGCACCTTTCAGAACCACAAGATCCAATACAAAATAGAAGTAAGTATAGAAAAACCAAAAATAGGATTTAGCCTTTTCCTTTAAAAAACAACAAAAAAAATTTTTTAAACGTGGTATTCCATCAGCAGAGCAATAGCAGTTGCCATCTTTCTATAACATTAGCAAATTAAACCCGTGGTCCTGAGCTTTTTTTTGTTCTTTTTTTTTTTTTTTTTTAGAACAAGGGGAGAAGAGTGTGTGGCAGAAATGGAAACAAAGGGCATGCTGGGGGTAGTGGTAGCCCTAGAGGCAGGCCGGCCCTCCTTGCCCTCCTCACCTGGCTCCTCCTGGCCCAGGGCTCAGAGCCTTCTGTTTGGCTCGAGGTTTTCCTTTGCTTGAGTCAGAAGTGGCAGAATTGATGAGATGCTGAAAATAGCTCCTGGTTACCAAGGCACGAGGGTCTTTGCTTCAAGAGAGCGGCAGTGCCCGCTTTCCCGGGACCCGATGAGCCTGCGTGGGGGAGGGCAGGCCTGAGTCCCTGTCCCACCGTCCAGAGCTGGAGCACGTTCCCCTCCCCCCGGGCCTGCACACAGCTGCTTGTCGCTGTGCTTCTCACAAAATGAGGAGAGGACACAGCCTTTACGTCCTCCAGTAAAGGGAATATAGGAAAGTTTCTGAAGCTTCTTTGAACTTTTAGGAAGTTCAGAGTTGAAAGAAAAAAGTTGGTGTTGAGCTCTTTTAGAAGGCTCTTGGGTTTGATCAGGTCCTCGGAAAACGTGGGTCTCTTGTATAAGGAGAGAAAGTTGCTGCCTCGGGGGCCAGTGTCTTTGAAGTGCTTAGCATGTCATCTGTTGTGTCCTAGGCATTTGAGCTGGCAACGGGAGATTATTTGTTTGAACCGCATTCTGGGGAAGACTATTCCAGGGATGAAGGTGAGTATTGCCGCCTGCCAAATACCTCAGGCTGGGCCTCCTGAGAGGCCTTAGCTTCTGGAGAGTATTGTGTTTCCCTACCGAAATAGAGCTGTGTTTTGGTTTTCAAACGCCCAGTCGAGATGCTTTCCCCTGAGCTTGAAGCCCCCTCAGGCACAGTGGACAGGCAGCTCTGCCCTTGGCCTGGGGCCACCTCTCCTTCCTGCTGGCCTCGGCCTGGCGCTCAGCAGCCAGGGAAGGACAGGCTGTGCGACCCCCGAGGCTTCTCTGTGGTCCTTTTGTCCACCGATCTGCCCATTTCACTGTCCTGTCGGGGAGCGGAGTTGAAAACCTGGGAATTCTGGCCTGAATTCCATCTGTAAAGCTGACCATCTCCATGCTTATTTGCTTACAGTGCTGGGGTGGCCAGGGGTGAGCTGGCATCAGTCACCGTCCGATGTTCCAGATGGTGCCTGAGGCCTGCCAGCCCCAGAAGCCTCTGCATGGATGTGCTGCAGACATTGTTGATTTGAATCTATTTCTGATTTTTTACTAATTTCAATTTTTTTCCCTCTTCTTTTATCCCATCCTTCCCTTTGCCCCTCCCATTCCCATGTCCTGTTTTTCTCTCCTCCATAGACCACATAGCCCACATCATAGAGCTGCTAGGCAGTATCCCAAGGCACTTTGCTCTATCTGGAAAATATTCTCGGGAATTCTTCAATCGCAGAGGTAGTACCTCTTCTTTTTGAAAAGCGCCACGATGCAGACAGAAACGGGATAGCACTACTGATTGTAGCGCGAATGATGGCAGACATTTCTCCTAAATTCGAAAGGCAACCTAGCGAAATTCCTGTGCTGATTTAAAAGTTGACAGGGAAGACTGCACTTGACCTTGCCACGGTCCCCCTGTGCATCCGGCGGCACCGGCAGAGCCTGTGCTTGGATCATACAGGTCGCGCTCTGTTTCTGTCTGCGCGGGCGGTAGCAGTGTCTGCATGCAGTGTACTGATTAAACTGTCGTGTGTTTCTGTTTTGCTGGCAATGTTTCCCAATGCAGATCACATAGCATTGATCATTGAACTGCTGGGGAAAGTCCCTCGAAAATACGCTATGTTGGGAAAATATTCCAAGGAGTTTTTCACCAGAAAAGGTAACGGTATTTATGCAACACTAATTTTCAGCATAATCCTCTCCCAAAAGGAGAAATTGTGCATTCACGTTTGGGCAGTGGAGAAAGACCTGGACCTTGTTACAGCTGGGGGATTCTGCTGAAGAAAGCTCTCGAGAAATAAGCTTGAACCATCTCCCATCTGTGGAGTACGGATTTTGTAAGAGTACCACTTCCCGGAACCCTCGGTCTCCTCCCCGCCCTCTCCTCTCCTAATCTAAGCCCAGTCTGTGTATTCACAGATTTGTGAAAAGGAGTTTAAGTGGTTTTTAGAAACCAGCTAGACTTCTCTTTCCATTTCTCATGTTGTTCGTGGAGCCTGAATGTTTTTGCCGTGGAGTAGAGGCAGCCTGGGGACAGGACTTTGTGAGCGTCCCTCTGTGTCCTGCTGGGTGTGTCTGAGCTCCTTATGACGTGGGCGCGGGCTGCTGAGACCCTGTGCCCCCTGCTCTGAGAAATGACGTTCTCTTCTCCCCTGCACTATTCACATTGTGTTAATAGCTGATTTACTTTAGTAAAAAGGCGCCAGGAATTTATTTTTAAAGAACCCCTTCCCGGCGCCATATTGTTTTGTGTGAGCATGTTGGACCTCTTAATTATGTTTTTCCAGCTTGAATTTTTTTTGGCAGTGAGAGGGAGCAGTTGCACCCCCTTTAATAAAGAATTTTAAAGTTGGTTTGAGTAGGATGTGGAGTTTCTAGAAATTTCTGAAAGTCCAACATGCTCTATCGCTTTCTGCTTTAGTCAGATTTGGAGAACTGGCTTTGACTTTTTATTTTCCTATGAGATAAGGTATTCTTCTAGAGTCATAAATCCTTATTATACCCTTTGGTGATGTCCAGCCACCCAGTCCTTGTTCCCTCCTTTAAATTACGCATCCCCGTTAAATGCGCAAGACTCGAGAACGTGCTGTGCCGAAGCCAGCAGTTTCCTGTTCCACTTACTCTGAGCACAGCGACCACTGCTCCCGGCTTTCCTAGGACCACCCCATGGGCAACCTCTGAAATGTGTAGCTAGATGCAGTTATTTTCTTACTACCTTTTAGAGGCTTATCACAGGGAAAAAAGATGGTCAGGAAAAACTGCTCTTCAGACAACCTGTGTCGATTTTGGTTCTGAAGACCCACCTGGACTTTGAGTCTGGGTCTCATGAGCAAGGTTATGGTTCCCCTCACACATGGGCCCAAGTAGGCTTGAGGCTAATAGAATGGCTTTGCTACTGAGTTCTGTTCTGTGACAGCATGGTGTGAGGCTGGGCACGTCCTGTCATGTCATCTCTGCACCTTCCATTTCCTACGCAGCACGTGGCACCCTAGTAGCTCATGTCACGTTTGCTGAGGCAGAGTTGTAAACAGGAAAGGAACTGCTCTAAACACGACGGACTTCTAGACGGCAGTATTGCTGAGAGAGCGGGCTAAGTTTCCGTAGGAAACTTCTTAAAAATGGTTGAAGGGCTGAAGCAAGGGAAGGCTCTGGATTACTGTGGCTTGGGATTCAGCGTGACTTGAGGAACTCTGTTTTAATCAAGGCAGAGCCCTTCTTCCACATTTCAGAGTGTTTTCACAGCCTGTGAGAGACGGCCTGGCCCCTGGGAGGACTTGGCTGGACTTGCAGTGAACCCCCCAGCCGCAGCCATCACCACTGTCAGGTGGAGGCTTGGAGGGGAGGGTGGCCAAGAGCTAGCAGCCTAGTCTGTCATGAAGTAGGGGACATGGCTGACCTGCTGATGCTCTAGGGAGGGGACGGGCACTGGAGGGCGCTGGACCTTACTCAGCACCTGCTCTGTCAGCCAAACAGAGAATCCGCCACAGGCCGACGGACAGGTTACCGCATCAGGCACAGAGGACCAACAGCCAGTAAAGCCACACGGAGTTTTTCCTCTGCAGCGAGGAGCTTCTCAGAAGGCCTGGGCTCTGCAGTTTTCCCGGCGCAGCGTCTGTGGGTTGGGAACCGCTTACTATCTATGCACAGCGGGGAGGAAGAGGGACACACACTGCAGGAGGGGACCCGAATGCTGAGGAGGTGAAGTCCTGCTTGTCCAGTGGCCTGGGATCAGGTTCGTTCCCAGAGGCAGTGCTCTGAGGCTCTTGGCGCCAGTTGGGCGTGGCTCCCAGGGATGGCACCTGCTGGGTACCAGCCCCGAAGCCCCTCCTCACCCCATCGGCAGGTGCTGTCTTTGAGCGGGGCGGGGG